GGCCCAGAGAGTAAATTCTGAGGAAGGCAGATTAAAAAAAATTTTTAAAAGAAAGGGGTAAGGGAAAGTCTTACAAATATTATTAGTATTTTAAAATTGTGCTGGCTAATTGTGCTGTTCACCAAACAGCTTGAAACAAAGAGTTGGTGCCTTGTTTTTATTACTGGGCATAAAACAAGTACTATCTAAATATTCAAAATAAAAATGTGCTTTTCACATGGAAGCTTCTTAATGAATCATATCTGTTCTTGACTACAGCATGCAAATCATTGTGTACGTCAGACAGATGTTGAAGAGTATTTACATTTCAAAGGGAATGTCTATAAATTCAAATGTTTCTATGAATATATTTAGTCAGAAATAGTCTAGGCCCAAGGAAAATTGATAATTCTGATCACATTTCTTGTAAAACATGTAGTAACTTCGTTAGGAGAATCACACAGAGCCCTGCAGAGCGACAGTTAGAGGAGTTATGTTTTAGGATTCTAATCAGTGGGATGTAGTTACTAAAATGATAAAAGAATGATGAAGAGAGCTCTCAGAAACAATATTCCACCCATACAGTAGCTTACCCAAAATAGCACTTTCTCTAAGCTCCATTTTATTGGATTCGTCAAAGGCACATTTTCTAGGGCCATGCCACTGGGCTGATCATCGCTCTATCACACACCAAGATTCTGTGTGACCTCTGTGCTCTCCCCCATCCTTCTTCCTCAGTATATTTGGAAGAATATTTGAAAATTTTGCCCATCAGAAGTAAAAGGGGATTTATGTTTGCAACGGAAGTAAATATTGGTTCTTATTTTATTTATAACCTTTACTGGCTCTTATTTCTAACCGCTAGTTCTGAAGTCTTTATAATGATCTCATTATTTGCCTATTATTTCAGGGTCATGAATTCAATTCCAATTTTTCAGTACATTTCAATTAACATTAATTGAGTGCCCCAGGGGCGATACACTCTCTTCTAGATGCTGCAAGGAAAATTGTCAATCGATTTTCTCTTAACCGGTGTTGAAATCAAATAGTTCTTGCTAAGCACTGCAGAGTGACTGGAGTATTTACTAGAAGTCAGTTAACCACCTTTACTTAAGACACTTGAGTGTGGAAAGCTAATGCTGTCATTGAAATAAATAGCTGATGGTGGAATTAGACTTTGTAAAGGGATCTGATTTATTTAATGATATTTTATGCAGCAGTGATAGCCTCTAACCAAAACGTCTTAGGATACCCTCTTAACTGTGGAATAGAACCCCTAGCACTTAACCAAGAACACAGGCCTCTAATATGACATATGTTTTTTAAATCAAAAAATTGTCTCCCTAAAACAACTGCAACAAATAATAATTGACTCTTAGATGGGCAACCGACCAACAAACAGATCAACAAACAAATCCAACCCAAACCATCCTACTGAGATTGTATTCCAGTAACTCTAGCATGTGAAGTGGAATAAAAATATTTTTTTCGGCCCAGGTATAATATTTGTGTTTCTAAAGCCAAGACGTTACCTGATCAATTCATCAGCTTCTTGTTGGAGGTTCTGTGCATGGTCGGTGGCTTCTTGGACTAAATCATGGCTGAGGTTACTCAAGTTAGAGAGTTTTACTTGTAGTTCATTTGTGGCTCCATCTATTCCTGCATAAATTCCTGATGCATTCTAAAGAAACAAATTTTAAAATATTAATTGAATTTAGAAGACCTTAAAACATTTTTTTCCCTAGGGAGCCCCTGAAGATATTCTCTATTCTTCCTTGCTATGAAGTTCAGTACATTTCAGGCCAGGCCCGCGTAAGTCTGAAATACTATAAGTAGATATTTATCTATTAAATATTTCTCCTGCACCTTCAACTCCTTCTCAGTTGATTGCTTCCCTAGCACCCATACATGCTCTGCCATTTCAGACCTAACAATAAAACTAAACAAGAACCTCCCGTTGTCCACACATCCTTCTAAAATTACTGCGCTACTTTTCCCTTCATGGCAAAATATTTTTTTTTTTAAAGAATGTTGCCTCTACTGTCTCACTTTCTGTTCACTATTTTGACTTACTTCAGTCTGGTTTCTACCTCATCACCCCATCCAAACAGAAGTTCACTTAATGACATCTAAGTTACTAGATGTGATGAGCATCGTTCAGATCCTGTCTTACCCGACCTCTCAGCTACATTTCACGTGGTTCACTACTAGTCCCTGCCTGAAACGCATCTTGTAACAAAAGCTCCTGTGGTGTTAATCTAATCACAGTCCTATGACTTTGCTGAGGATCACACAACTGTGTAGATGATGCTTTATGACTTCCAGACTTGGCTCAGCCCTCAATGCTGAAAAAAGATTTGCCCTCTAGTCACCCAAATAGCGTTTCTAAACACTGTCATCATTCCCAAGCCAGTGACATTTTCTTCTTCCACCCTCTTTGGTTCTAAACAGATTACTTTCTTTTCTTTATTTGGAAGACATAAAGTGTTAACAGGGAACATTTCTTCTACACTCCTGATGTTTCTTCCCTATGAAAGGAGCTTATTTAATGAAACTCCACCCATTTCTTCACTCTGCTCTTACGAGAGGGAGTGATTTATTCTATTGTTAAGGTTGGGAAGAATAACTGTACAGGCTTTGCTCAACTCCATACTCCATCTCGGGAGCAAGCTGCCAGCAGAAAGTGAGTTTTCTTGTGTTCCTCCATATAAAAGCCATTTGGGGCAGAACCTCCGGTGTTGGCTGTCTGGGTGGGGACTCCTGCCTAATTCTAGGACTGGGTTATCAGCAACCTGCTCTGCTAAGAGCCCCAACACCAAGCCTTCATGGTAGCTGCAATAGAAATAAGGTGATATTCTCAATCTCCATATTTCTATTTTATTTATGCTCCAACTTGTTTAGAATTTGGGTTCTGGAAAGGGGCACTATTTATAAGTAGCCCCACAGGAATTTCCCTGACTTTTTGCTACCATCTCCCAGCCATTCGCTCCAAACCCTGTACATTTATTTATAGCCACCTTTATGCATACATTTTTCTCCAATTTTAAGAGGAAAAGTGTTCTTTTTCTGTATAAAGCATACTCCCCCATTTCCTCAGTGCCCATGCTTTCCATTATTCTTGCTCCCTCGCCACTGACTCTTCCAAATATGCCCAAGTTTCTCCCATTAAAAAACAAACGAAACCTGTCCTTTGACTCTAGATTTCCTTTTAGCTTCTTCATTGGCTGTGACAGTGCACTTTGTAGAAATGGTTCCTGCCAGGATCCCCAACTCCTGACCCCAAATTGATAGATCCACTTGACATTTTCCCATCTTTATTTACAGGACCTCTCTCTGGCTTGTGACAGTGTTGGTGAGCATCTCTGCTTAAAACTCTCTCTTTTCCTAGCTTCTGTGAATCTGTTGTCCCCTGGGACTTGTCTTTGCCTGCCCAGGAAAGAGACCTTAGAAGCTGGCGTCCTTCAGAGTTGGACTCCAGCCCTCTCCTCCACTCTCAGTGCGTGGACTTCTCTCCCTGAGCCCAGTCCTGCAGTACTCTGATCCATTTTCCATCATCCTGCAGGAGAGGTGACCCTTCTCTTTAAAAACTCCGACCATACTATTTCTCTTCTCAGAATCAGCCAATTGCTTCACAGGAATAGATCCCGTTCCTAAGCATGACCCCTCCTTGTCATCAATTTCATCAATTCTCCACCCCACTCTGTTCCGTGGTACAACCTTGACTAACTGACTATTGTTTTAATGCTCCATAATTTTTTCTGACCCCTGTGCCTTTGCACATAATATTTTCCCTGTCGGGAATAATTTTCTTTTCTTTTCAAACTGACACACCTGGAAAAGTTCTACTAATCCTTCCAAATAAACTCAAATACCACTTTCTTGATGTAGCCATCCCTAACCACTTCAGGATGAATGAAGTATGGCCACATATTTCTGTTATCCATGTGCCACATCATTGTAATAATTTTATGTGGGATTATTTAACTCACCAGATCACACATTTCTAGGAGGCAAGAACTGAGTTTAACTTATTTTTTGTATTCCCAGAATGCAGCACAGTTCCTGGCACAAAGAGTTAATTTTTATGGAGACAGTATTAAACCTCTGGCCATTTGGTGGGTCATCTGGGGAATAATACTTTGGAAGAAATTGTTAATTGTATAAACAGAAAAAATACCATAGGCCTTCCACCTGTATTCATTCATTCATTCAACAAATATTCACTATGTACCTACTATGTGGTAGGTACTTTTTCAGGAGACAGAATACCTATTCACTGCCTCTATTTTTAAGGAACTTACAATTTAGTGTGTAGATATAAGTAAAAAATAAGTGATTAAATAAGTAAATAAGATAATTTCAGAGAGTAAAAGTATTTTGAATAAAATACAGCAGGTGGGATGGGACGGAGAGTGGTTGAGGGTACAGGGTTCACTTGCATTGAATGGTCATAAGGGCACTGACCATCTGAAGCTCTGAGGAGGAAAACCCAGGGTTTCTGGGCAGGGCTGTGTGACCAAGTCTCCCCTGCATGCAGTGCTGGCCCAGTGTCTGGCCAGGAGCATCCACCCGCGAGCATCTGCTCATGAGCCCTCCAAGTATGTATGGGACAGTGTCCAGCTGGCTCTGCCAGAAGACCTTGCAGGTGCTCCTGGAGTGGGCCCTGGGGGTGGGGAGCTTGTGACTTAAGGAATACATTTTTTTTTGTTGTTGTTGTAAAATGATTTTTTTTTTTATTAAATGATAGCTCTATACATTAATGCAAACAGGGGGTACAGTGTAGTGTTTTCACATACATTTTGAAACACTTTCATCAAGCTGGTTCACATAGATTTCATGTAATTTGCATAGTCATTGTGTCAAAACATTTACATTCTATTTCTAGAAAAGTTCACTTGTACCCTTGTTAGACAAGGAATACATTTTAAAATTTATTCTTCAATTTATTTAATTTTAGGTAAGTTTATTGTCCTATATGGCTAGTGGCCACCATATAGTGCAAGAAAAATTCAATCATCAGATCTTATTTATTTATTTATTTTTGCCGGGGTTGGGTTTGAACCCGCCACCTCTGGCATATGGGGCCGGCGCCTTACTCCTTTGAGCCATAGGCACAACCTTGATCTTATTTTTATAATGCCTGATAACTTGACAGATTTGAATCGAATCTGATTGTTTTTCTGTCACACTGTTCTAAGCTGCTGGAATACAAAACTGAACAAGTCATGTGGGGACTTACCTTTATTACATCATCAAGTTCTGAAAGTGTCAGACGCGGCATGGTCAGAGAGTGTGCAGATGCTCTCAGGGAGGTGTTCACCACTTCCATTTGCTCCCTCACTCTCTCGTGCTGCTTCTGCAGGCAGGAAGAGCAAGGGTGAGAGAGAGAGCGCGTGTCAGGGAAGGCGCCAGCGAGAGCAGTAAATGTCAACTTGCTGTCTTCAGACTCAGACCACTTTGGGTTCATATCCCAGCTCCATCCTTGCTGTGTGCCTTTGGGGAATACAACCTGTCCGGTGCTCAGCTTTTCATTTATAATACAGAGAGAACAAAATAACCACCTGTGGAGACTGGGAGCACTTAGCTATGAATACGACTTATCACATCAGCGAGTTAGAGGGCATTTGACTCTTTCTCTGTTATGCGAATGGGTCTGTAGGAGACAGGATTGAACACAGGCCCTTTGTTTGCAGTAACTGGAAAAGGTATTAAATAAAACCACTTTCATGTGCCAACTTTGGGCCTGGCACAAACAGCCCATTTGCAGAGGACTAGAATATATACAGAATAAAGTAGTATCTTTTTTTCTTTGTAGTTTTTTTTGGCTGGGGCTGGGTTTGAACCCGCCACCTCTGACATATGGGGCCAGTGCCCTACTCCTTTGAGCCACAGGTGCTGCCCGAATGTAACATCTTTTTGAAAATTAAAAAAAACCTTATTATCAAAGCATAAAATCATGATACTGCTTCATACTACTCTGAGCTCTTTATTTTAGATGCTCAGATTTTCTGAGGAAGGAAATTGCCCGTGTATTAATAGGGCAGTTTAATTCAGTTTAAATGCTTTAATTTCTATCTTTACTTTTGGATTCTAGTGGCAGGGATGTTGTGATTCTGAAGAAATATTACGGGGCTTCAGAGGAGTTCAAAGATTGAAAGCAACACAGAATGAAATTTTAAAAGGGAAAATACTGGATTTATTTTACAATTTGAATAAAAAAATTGAAGTTCCTTTAGAAATAGTAATTTAAGTTAGAGTGGAAATTGTACTTTAAGTTGGAGTTGAAATATATGATATTGTTTAATTTAGGAGACCACAGACATAATCACGGGACCCTAGATTAGAGGAAATATTTTAAAACTTTCCAAGTTCATCTTAATGGCCTTTCTTGGGCTGTTGCAGTCTTTCTCAGTTTAGTGGGAAAGAAGAACAAAACATGTCTTCTCCAAGTGTGTTGCTACAGGGGCAGGTGTGGGTCTAGAGACAGAAAAGAATGACATTTGAATATCTCCTTAATGCAAGAACATTAAAAAATAAATTTCCTCTCAATATCCATCAAACTAATACAATGTGATGAGCTAAGATCAATTGTTCTTATTTCTACAAGGAGAGGTATTTATACAACTCTGCCCCAAAGCAGTACTGTACGACATGTGTGTCAAAGTATGTAAAGGAAGGGAGGTCGTGTGGGTACCATGTAGCTCCCTCAGAGCTGTTCTCCTTTCACCATGTCTGAGCCATGACCCCTTTTGTAACTCTTGCGTCTGGGCAGCTATAAGAGAACAATGCTAACACCCAACTTCAAAGTCAGAGCCCAACTTCAAAGCTGTGTGCCATGCAATGTGACTATCTAGGATCAATTATTCTTAATTTTACAAGGAGAAGTGTTTATACAGCCTCTTGGATGGGAACATAGAGGAACGTATGATGACTTTGATGAAGCCTGTGATCATTCCGGGGTACAATAAGCGGACTTGTAGTCCGTGGCAAATGATATGCTTCAATTTCATGGGATTCTCTCACTTATCATATACAGCATTAGAGATGAATAAAGTTAGCCTTGAAACAAAGAAAAATATTCTCACAGAAATACGGTCAACTTGAACAAAAGAAAGTTTTTTGAAAACTAATAATTATGAAAATGACATAATTAGTACTATTCAGCATGCTTCAGTATCTATGACACATATGCAGAAAATTAAAAAAAAATTCCTGATATTTAGAAAAAAAAAGAATAGGAATAGTCCTGGGAAGGCAAAGCTTTGGTTTATGAGGACCCCTAAACATTACTTTCTAAAGAGTATTTTCCCTATTTTAAAATGTATAACCTTATGTTCATGTGATAAATATTTTTTATCATTCTGTTACCTTTGGGGTTAGGAGTCAGTTGAAAAAGTAACATAATTATTAGTTGTGTGGTTGATGTTTGGACACATCAAATGATTAATCTATGTGGGCATTTTTTTGGCTTTGTATAAAGACTGAAATTTTGATGTTATTCTTTTTTAACCCATGCTGTAGGTCTAGTGGTTAAATTTGAACTTAAAATACTTAAGTTTGTTTTCTGAAACATTGAGTCAAATTCCAACAAACTTACATCTATTTAAATCAATTTGTTGTAGGAAAGACTACTACATGGGGTACAAATAAAAGGTTGGGTTTTGAATTTTGTTAGAAGGAATTCAAAGTTTCCTGACATCTAAATATGCAAAAGTATGAACAAGAATTAGAATAGAGTGTTTAGTAATTTAGAGGTCTGAGTTAACCTGAAATGAGTGTTTGTAATTAAGAATAACCAGTATACACAAATCACTTCTGTATTACTTGAATATGCTCCATTCATTTGCCTTTTCATGAACAAATGCAACAAATGCAAGACATTGTGTTCAGTGCTAGAAAGATATAATTCCTGCAAGCAGGAGTGTTGCCCTTTTGATTCTTCCAGACTAGTGAAGGTAGACTAGAAGCATACCATAACACACACACACACACACACACACACACACACACACAGGGACACATACACACACACAGACGCAGTACTAAGCTAGGCATTCAGCAATTAAAGATGCCTCCTGGACAGGAACATAGAAGAATGTATGATGAGTGTGATGAAGCCTGTGATCATTCCAAGGGTACAACTCAAGGCTGCGCCAGTGGGGAGGACAGGACTCCTTCTGATGGTCAGGGTTTATCCTGGAGTTAAGATGGGCTACCTGAACTTGTTTGTCAACCTTGTTCATATGAACAAGTGCATATTTTCCTCACGGCAGGCATATGTGTGTGTCTCTCTGTGTGTGTGTATTTCTAGTGTCCCCAATTTCAGGAGGGAAAGTTGGAGGAAGAGGAGTTGAATTTTAGCAGGGCTTATCCACATAGCTATTCCTGAAGACTGGCACCAACAAGAAATGGTGCTGTGGGCTGGGCTATGAGTAGGGGTGCCGGCAAGGACTGAGGCAGTGAGAACAGTGAAGCCACTGAGGGGAGAGTGGGGACAAAGCGGTGCAAGTTTGGTTGATGCCAGGCTGAAGAGGAGAGACATCAGGAAGAGGAAGGAGACTGAGCAGGGCTTTAAAATGCCTCCATGCTATGCTGCTCTCTCCTGAAATCTTGCTCAGGCCGTCCATTTGTACTCAGTAGAAGAGTTTGCAATGCAAAGCTAAAATCAGGCCTACCATCTGTCTGAATCAGTAAAACGCCGAAGTCCCGGTATCCACAGGCATGAAGTTTTTTAAAAATTGTACATAAGAAACATTTAATTGAAAGTGATTTTGATGATTGTTCACTTTTAGAACTGAAGTCTCTTCACAGAAGTTACACCGTTACACTGGCTTGTTATGTACACTGGCTCATTACATTTACAAAGTCCAGTGTGTCCCGACACAGGCACTGGCATTGATTGACCATTAGCAAATGCAGATACTTGGATCCTCAGTTCACTGATCACTTGTCACCCTTCCTCATTACAGACTTTATAAAGGACTTTTGGCAACAAGATCTGTTCCTAAAAATAAATGAATGGAGAACTGACCATGTTAACACACTTGCATGTTTTCCCCAGCACAGGTGGATATAGAAGACTGAGCACTTCACTGATGCTGACAACTTACAGCATACAGTTTACCACTACTAGTAGCTTGGGGCCATGTCTGGGAATCTTCCCTGCCTCTTTGCATTTGTGTAGCTTCGGCTTAAATTAGTCACCCTATCTCTGCAGCTGCTGTGCAGCCAGCCTGTGAGATTTGCTTATCGCGCTTTCCAAACATACCATGTACACAATGTGCTTTTCCAAAAGTCACACATTTCAAGACACGTAGGCTGCCTTGGTGTTCTAGTGCCCTCGGTACAAAAAAAGCTAAGTGTTGCTTACCCACTTGCAGGAACAGGTGGTCTGGACACACAGACACAAACATAAGAACAACTGCATTCTTAGCAGACCAAGAACCAAACAATTATCACACTTTCAACTTGACTTTGGGGACACAAACTTACGTAATTTATAGCAGCAAAAAGTACCCCAAGATTTAAAACATAAATACGCCAACTTAAATTTAAATATGTCAATATTTTAAAAAGTGCACACCAACTGTCCTTTTTTGGTGTAACTTCACTTTGTCTGTGCCTGAAGCGCTTCCCAGTCTGTGCCCACTGTACCTCGTGGTCCCGCTGCCTGGCTGCTGTGGCCCGGTTCATGTCTTCAGCATCCCTGACACGGTCAAGGGCCTGGTCAAGTGATTCCTGGAGGTCTGACAATTTGGCATTGTAGTCGTCCAGCTGCTCCAGGACAACAGGAAACAGAGCCCGAGTGTCGTTGTGCAGCCGCTGCCAGCTCTCAGCCTGGCTCAGCACTGGAAGACGCAGAGACGGCAGGTCAGTCCCCACATCTGTCTCCTCCCACTGCCTCCCAGCAGTTAGCAAAGGGGTCAAACTATCTGGCTGCGTCTTCTTTACCAACTGAGACTGAAACTATTGTTCACAAAAATGGCCCCATGTTTGACATGTGAAGTAAAAAATGCTATTTGGAGGCTTTAGGAGCCCCTGAGTAACAGTCAGTTAAAAGAAACGTTGATTATGTTTTATGTGGAAATTGTGTCATTATACTCTGCATGTCATTACCTAGGTCACTAATAATTTTACCATGTAAAGGATATACAATAGCTTTTGCTATTAAAAATAACCAAACTTATCTTGTCAATAGTAAGGCAAAAAAGATGTTCATACCCACTCATTGTCTATATTCTTTCTGGGCAGCCATTTTTAGTTGGATTTTTTAAGGGCAAATCCAAACCATGATTTTGGATGAAATAACAATTAAATGGCAAAGACATGTTATGCTTAAACCTGTATACGCCCTTTGGTCCCTGCCCAAAGGCACAGGTGCTGACTGTGTGCCTGCATTCTGTTTTTCTTCAGGGACTATTAGTTCATCTTGTTGAGTTTTTGTATTTTCTTTCACCACTGTGAGCAGAAGACACAAGTTCATGGCTGAGTAAAGCAAAAGGTTGAAAATGTATTCACGTGGTGAAAGGAGGCTGAGTGGGAGATGAACTTGGTCCTGTTTCCCCAGGCCAGTCTTGTCAAATTCCATACTAGGCAAGGAACTTGCAGGCATCTGGCGGTGACCTCACAGCTGTCAGCCTCATTCAGGCTTAAACCTGGGGACCTGGGGTTTTTTCTTTTGGATGTCATTACTGTTTCTAAGACTTTACACATTTGCTACCATAATAAACCTGTATGTCCGTAATGTTTCCTATATGCTGTCCACAAGAAGCATTAGCAAAACTAGATAGTGACAACTGTAGGAAAATGACCTAGTGTCCTTCAACACTTTTTGTGCTATTGGTCTCACTGAAGTCTAGTGAATCCTTCAGATTCTTCTCCCAATGTGTTTTAAAATGCATATAATAAAATGTATAGAACTCAAAAAGGAGACTAATATATTTTAAAAACCAAACTTCTAATAAGTATTGTGATTTCAAAGTGGCTAGAAGAGGGGACTTGAACTGTTACCAAGACATAGAAATGATAAAACACTCAAGATGACGAATACCTCAAACACCCTGCCTTGATCATTATATACGTTCTATTTATGTCACAAAATATCACACGTTTCCCATAAGTATGTAAAATATTATGTATGAATAAAGACTTTTTTAAAATTAGAAAGTAAATTGGTAATATGTTTGGTGCTGCTATGTACCAACTGGTAAATATATTGGTGCTGCTTTATTAATGCATTCAGTAACAAGATCTAGTGGTAGATCTAATTACTTCCATAATTTTGAGTTATTGATGAATATAACAGGGTTGAGGTATCAACAGCTAAAATACAATATGTAAATCTGTGGGTTTTTTGGTTGCTTGTGTAAATTAAAATGAATGCCAATTCTTTGCAGTTCTTCCCATGAATAGTAGAGTCTATCTGCCCGTGCCCTTGGATCTGAGTTGATTTTGACCAATAGAATGGATGTGCCATTGCTGAGTTCCAAACATAGCTCTCAAGAGATCTTGTGTTTCCCATCCCCGTCCTCTAAGCAGACTGCTGCCACATGAGCAACCCTGGGCTTGCCTCCTTGAGGTGTGACCCTGCATGGAGGGAGAGGCCCAGCCTCCCCAGCCAGCCCCAAACACATGAGGAAGCCCAACCAATGCCACAAAGAGCAGAGATGAGCATCCAGGTGGAATCTAGGCCAAATCCCCTATGCCCTGAAATAGTGAGCAAATAAATGGCCATTGTTTTAAATGTTTGGGGTGGATTGTTAGTAACTGATAACGAATACCATGACCAAATCATAGTTCAGTATACCCCCGTGGCTTGGTGCCTGCATTCATCACTAAAGGAAATGTTAAATTTCCACCAATGGCTGAAAGCTACTAAAAGTCATTCATGGCCCTCACACTGTGACTGCTGCTAGGCTGGTAGCATTTTTGCCTTCTGAATAAAATTTCTTTTCATGTAGTTCTGGGAATTGATTCCCCTTAGCCTTTCTTTTCCTGGTCTGTAACTTCCGTAGATTCCTTATGAGATCTCAGCTATTTCTCAAGGGCTCAAAGTTGGGCCTGAATCTAAAACATAAAGTCAATTGTCCAGAATGGTTCTCTGAGGCCACATCTACAGTCTAAATAGCTCTGAATATTGGGAATTGATTGCTTTGACCAAAGGATGCCTGCAGTGTGGTGTCCTCTCCCAGGCCCACAAAAAGAGCAAATGTGTGTTGGGTGAGGTACCAGGTGAATACACCTACGTTCGTAGGCCTCGTCCGCCTCCTCGTCCACAAGCTCCTGCTGGGCGAGGAATGGTGGCTTGTGTCTTATCTCCTCAAGCATCTGCTGGGCCAACACTAACTTCTCAGCGATTTCCTCCGGGCTAAGTTCTTGCTCTTCTCCATAATACAGCATCTTGTTGTTGATCTCTGAAAGGAACAACATGGTAAAACCAGGTGGCAGGGAGAGGTGGTCTGGCTCTGAAAACATAGGGGAGCGAGGACTGGTGGGCAAAGGACAGCATGGATCCTGAAATGGAAAGGGAGGTTCATGAAGATGGCCCATCGAGCTGGTGCGCAGCACCAGCTCATCAAATATTCCAAGGAGGAGGATAACCTGAGGCAACCACCCTCCTCTGCTTCCCGTGCCATGTCCTCAGAATGGGAATCGGCTCATGCTGCTTTCATCTTTATCTGGTTTTCGCAGTGATTCAAGAATGTTAATGTTAATTATCATGCCTTAACACTTAAGGCACACAAATCTAGGGTCTTTGATCAACTTTTTACATAAAATACTTAACTTGGAGAAAATATTCAGCCGTTATCTCCTGTCATATGTTGGATGTGTTGGTGATATTGATTATATTTTCAGACAAAGATTTGACCACGCCAAAATGAAAGCAAACTGTTAGTTGTCCAAGTGAGTCTTTCAGACTGTTTTTAGACTAGATATAAAATGGAGGTTTGTTATTGTTGATGTGAGGTCTTGTTCATTAGTATTTGATTCTTAGCAGTTGCTATTTGCCTTCTGCTGTATGACTACTTGTTGAGATTGGGGACATTTTGACTCTGGGTCATTATCACCCCATCTCCATAAATAGGGTGGAGAATTTTAGAACTGGAGGGACCACTGAGGCTCAGAGGAATCAGGCCACCTGACTAAATGCTAGCAGGGCTGGGATAGTTCTCTGACTCTCTCATTCCTACTACATCTGATCAGAAGAAAGGTACGTAATTGTCATCTTGTCCTATAGCAGCTCTGGGAGGAAGCATTTTATCTTCCTGGCATAAATGAAATTGTGTGTCTGTGGTTTACTATGATCTATGTGGTTGGCCAGAAAAGATGGGTAAACAAACACTGGTGTCCCATAAATCACACCAGCATAAAGGGTCGTATTTTATATGGATAATAGCTTGAAGGTCACCAGCAGTTATTTCAGAGATGGTTAGGAATAAGGAATGACACACAACTGGTGTTGTTCAGCAATCCAGAATTTTGAAGGAAGGGAGATAAATGGGGGGAAGAAGTTTTTAATGCTTAATGTTTAATTCCTGAAAATGTCATAGGAATATTAAGATATGTTTAAAAAACAATTATGAAGGAATTAAACGTGCTTTCAAAATAAAGTCTAAAATATTTACCCCTGAAATAAACTAAAAGGTATTTTTTTCTTAGCTCTAGAACTTGTGATGCTGAATTTTTGACATTATGATGTAAACAATTACCTTTATAATTTTTGCCTATTTTATTTTAAGCCATGTGTGGGATGGACTAGAGAAAGGAAATAGAGACAATAGCATTTTTGTCTTTGGTCTTTGGAGTCTGTAAGGTAAAAATAGAAGTTATTTTTGCCATTTACATTTCTTTCGCATTTTTTCATTCTTTCCTATACTTTAAAGGTCAAAGAAGAGGATTCAGATCTTTTCCAAATGAAACACCGTAGAATTAAAATGTGAGTTACAACAGCAAAGGTGAATTATTTTCCCTGGATGGCTTACTAGAGTCCTGGCATTATTTGTTGCCTAAAGAGGCATTTATTTCTCAGTTGGATGAAGTCACCTAATCTTCTAGGTTCAATCTTATTTTTTTACCAAGTCAATAGTAATTCTAAAATGCAATAGGAAGGGAATATATTATTAGTAAATGTGCAAGGATGAGATATGGAAGGGAATATGACGATGAAAGTGAGGAGTGTCTAAAATACATGCCATTTGTTTTTACTGTTTATTACAGGCATCAGAGGAAATGTGGCAAATGATTAATCTTGGGTCTATAGATGCCTTTGCCTGGCACATACCTTATGCCTCAATATGAAACTATGAATCTTCCCTATTGGTCCCTTTAGTGCCATTGTGCCCCAAGATGCACTTGGTGTTGTCATCCAGCCCTTAACATATAGTGGAATAAAACCATGGAAGTGAAGATACTGGATCTTAGTAGACTTTAACCCCCCCCCCCCAAATTCTTCTTATCCTAGAAGAAATGAAGTCTCTTGTTTTCTGCTGGTAAATTGCAGGCCAGTTTTAAGTGCCCTGTTAAGATGGTCTTCATGATATAGCCTGCACTTATCTGAAGTTAGAGCACGAATAAGTAAGCTTCTGCAAGAGGAGGTACAATCTGTTACCATGCTTTAGGACTAAGACATTTCCCATAGTCCCCTCCATACTTTTCCTCTGAGCTGGGGACCCCTGCCTCCCTGACCTTTGGGAAAGAGTATAATAATAGAAACTGCCTGTGAGGATTTGGATCAGCTGACAGTCTATTGCCACTCTAAAGGCAATATTTTCTCTGCAAATAACTAGAAAAATCTGTGACTCCTACTCAACCCTGGCATTTTAGAAACACCAGAGCATGTGGTCCCCTCTGCAGGAAAGGTAGTCTGTCATTCCATTTCTGAGAGATACCTAAAAAGGGAATGATTTTGCACACTGATTCTTGAACATCAACAGACAGTAGGGATGAGTGCTCAGAAAGGCCAGATGAACAAACACAAAATGAAGACTTTATATAAATTTAAACCTTCGATACTCTGACAGCAAGTTCCTGGCAAAGAGCAAACACTCACAGTGGCCATTTTTTGATTGTCGCTAATAACACAAGCGTTTCCTTGTCATTAAGCTGAACCAGAAGAGAAGACATTTACCTTGGATTTTATCCCTCATATCATGGGCTTGCTGTACAAGCTGGGTTGCGTGGTTAATGGTGTCCAGGCTTTCCTTCTGAGCCAGCTGCCCCTTCCTTGAAGCTTGACTTTCCTACAAATAATGCATAGGAACAGTAGATTAAACATATGAGGAAGGAGCTGGTATATGTCCATGTGGGGGTAGGCGGGCATAACGTCCATACACATAACGTCCCTGGCATAGGAAAGCTCTGTAACATATAAAATGGTCCCAGATCATGCATGAGGGCTGATGGGATCCCTAGTTTCAGAATCAGAGAATGCTATAAAATAAGATGCTATCCTGCGTTACCAATCACTGTTCATTCCTAACCAACCACCTTTCACAGGTGCCTCTGAACTTTCACTGTATCTCAAGATGCCAACCTAAAGAATTGCCCGTATCTGCCAATCATGTGACATTGTGCTGACCAAGGACCTTAAAGATTTAAAGAGACAGCTGTCAAGAAAGCAGACGGGCCTTGAAATGCACCATGCTCTAAGCCGCCCCTGGGTGGTCCAACTGCTGCTGTAGCTGAATTGCCACAGAGATTTAAAGGATTATGCTTCCTGGCTCCATGCTGTTCTCAGTGGTTTATTCCAAATTACCATCCACATGGATGGCACTTGTGGACAAACAACTGCTCGAGCAGGCTTGGCTCAGGGGTGAATGGAGCTCTTCTCCGCAAAGGTGATTCCTTCTCCCAACTTGGGAGCTTCTGTTTCAGAGAGCTCTCAAGTAGTCGTTGTCGAAATTCAAGCCCAACTCAGAAGTGGCTTCTGAAGAAAGATTATATGTGGGTATATGTGCACGGGTGTGTTGCTGTGTATGTGGCCAGGACAGGAGCATAGCAATGCTCAAGGCCAGGAAACTGCCCTGTAGGCACAGCCCGGGGGACATGTACTTCCTTTGGGGATGAGAAACACTCATGGGTTATATTCAAGAGGAGGCCGTGTGCTTCAGGCTGGCATTTGGTAAATGTCCACTCGCCTGGTGAGGTGCTTGATCGGCTCTGTTCTGTAACAAAGCGCTGCACTATCTGAATCAGCTGCAGGCTGAGCTGCCACATAGAGCCCTGGGGGAACCATTGTACAGAGGGTCCCCAGGGTAGGAGTGTGGCTGTTCCAAACTTCTCCCCTTTCATCCAGTGTTCTACCATGTGTAGCGTATGCCATGATTTTACCTGGAATATTTTAACAGTTCTCAAGTATAACCCCAGCAAGCGCCCTTCTATGTTGGCCAAGGAAGAGGCTTTCTATTATTCTCTCCATACAAAGCAGTGCCACCAGATTCGTGAAGCTTCCTCAGCAGTGGTGACATAGCCATCAGTCCCTCTATAAGCTGTGGGCTCTCTGAATGGACACTGCATTCTGAGTCTTTTGGTTTCTTCCTCCAATTCCAGTCCTCCCCCTGGCTTGTTCCAGTCCCTCCCAGAGAAAGAATATTTGCGGTCATAGGAAATTGGATAATGCAGAATATAAGATGAATTTTATTCTTGATGTCACTCCTCCCTGCTTTCAAAAAATACAGATGACACACGTAAAACATTTAAAAATTGTTAACAAGTTCATCTTCGACCCACTTTGAGCTATATTGTGGCAAAGCATAACACTCATATTTTTAACTTTGGCTTCGTTCTTCCAGGGAAACCTCTATGGTTGTTTCTGTGTCATTAAACTTATTTTTTAGACAGAAACTGAATCGAAGTGATGAAAAACAGCTGGAGAAATGTCATACCTCTAAGAAAACCTTTTCTTTCTGAGACACCAGAGGGCGCTGAGATACAGATAGATAATTGATAGCTGATAGGAACAGATATTTATATGCTTTATCTGTAAATAGGACTCAACCAGTGTCAAAGAGAAAGAGAAATTTATTTTAAGTTATAAAATATAATATATAGTGATGACTTATGTAAACTTTTTTTCTATAATTTTTGTTTGTGAAAGGAAAATGATACAGGCACATGGTACAACAGGTGTGCCTTGCTTTGAGAAGAGCTGAAATTATCACAGTTCTAAAAAAAAATTACAGTTCTAAACCAGTTGGTGGTTTACATTAAAAATGGATTAATTCTTTACTCACTTCGCCAGTAAGTTATCCTTGTACATAGTTGATATAAAAAGCAGCAAGCATTTTTTTTGTAATATAGTTTATAAAGGGTAATATACCGAGAATATTAATTCTAAAAAATCAACCAGATTAAATGAGGGTGATAAGCAATATTTAGGGTGATCATATATTTTATTGTTTAAGCTGGGACACTCTTTGTGAGTGAAAAGGGGAAGTTTTAGTAATTACTCTGGGACACACACAAAATAAGGAAGTCCTGGACAAACCACTAACTGGAATGTCAGAATGCTATTTCAGAATTTGGTACAGTAATGCCTACCTCTGTGGGTTTACCTACCTCCTAAACATTTATGACTTCCGAATACCTTTCTAGGTCTGATCTATCCTCTGAGCTGCAGACCCCAATCTCTAGCTGCTGTCTGGGCAATCACAGACATCTTGCTCTTAACAGGTCCTGAGTAATCCATTTTGTATTTCAAGTCTTAGTTGTCCATTTCTCCAAGACAGAGCTTCCCTCCTTGCTGATCCTCACCTCCGACTGCTCCCCAAGTCTTTCTGATTCCACTTGCTGCTCTGGCCTCTCATCCTGTTCTCTACCACCACAGTGTCAGCTCACCCCTGTTCTCTATGAAACCTTTTCCAATGAAGGCAAGATAGCAATCAGCTACTCTCTCACTTAGACAACTGCGGCAGTCTCCTAACTGCCCTGTCCTCAGAGACTGCACTCTCCAGCCCTTTATCCATACTGCAGGGAACTCTTTCCCAAAGGTAAATCTGATCAGCTCATTATACTGGGTAAAAACTTCAGTGATTCCCCAAGTCCACAGTATAAAACCCATGTGTTCTTGGGCATGGTGGGCAAAGTTCTTCGCCATTTGGCCTCTAACAACTTCTTCATAATTATTTCCTACTCTTTGCCTTACAATTAATCCTCTGTAAGACCAAGGCCATAGTTCTAGTCCCAAGAGCACACCTGCTGTTTAACATCTCTCTGCTCTTTAGTACTTATCCTTTGCTTGGAAGTACTTGAGGACGCCTAGTTCTTCTCAGCACACACAGTGCTCACCTTCTCTGAGAAGCCTGTCCTAATGTTCCCTTGATGAAACAGTTCAAAATTTCTTCCTTACAGTTCCTTTTAGCCTGTACCATGCCTCTCTTATTGAATTCTGTATTACGATTCTGCTTTCACATATCTATTCACCTACTAGACAGTGAGCATCTTGAGAGCAGGGGGTTGTTATATTCATTTTAGTATCCCTAGCACCTGAACAATACCAAATGTTCAGCAATTTTTTTGAAACAGAAACCTAACTAGGCATCCCTCCTTATCTATTCTGGAATTGGTTCCAGAACACCCCTTTTCTCTCAGATACCAAAATCTATGGATGTTCAAGTCCCTTATATACAGTGGTGCAGTATTTGCAGTACTATACCTTGTGGGCCCTCCCACGTGTTTTAAATCATTTCCAAATTACCTAGTAACACTTAAAATGCCTACATATCACTTCATTCCCATGGATTCAACTTAGTACCAAGCATGCAGCAAATTCAAGTTTTGCTTTTTGGAACATTGTGGAAGTCTTTTTTTCTAAATATTTTTGATCTGTTGTTGGTTGAATCCAGGGATGTGGAACTTATGAATACAGAGGACCAATCATACTTATTTTCAGGCTGATTTTTTGTCAGGTGGATTTTCAGGGAGCTTTTGCTGATGTTGAAGGAGGGGGGAGGGCAGGGATGAGAGATGGAAAAGTGGAAGGGCTGCTGTAGAACATCTAGTGCCACCCTAGGAGACTGGGCCTTGACTCCAGGCTCTCCAGTGGACTTGTATGACCAGACAGAAGGGGCAGCATGGAGATTGAGAGAGGAGCACATCTCCTCCTCTGCTTGTAGCCCAGGACCACTCTGACCTTGAGCATTTGGGCTCTGGGAACACAGGAGAATGAAATCTTGGCAAGATCTTTGGTATTTTTAGTACAGAAGTGATCAGCAATGGCAAGAGTGAGGCCCTTCTGAGCACTCACTGATTGTAGAAACCGATGCATGGGAAACCTTCAGAGGGTCCCCTGAGGCAGGTAGTGGGAAAGGGCTGGAGGACTTCTATATGGAGGTGGGGACAAAACCAGTAACTATGTGAACGTAACTGGTGAGATTTAGGTCACAGGAGAGCCACGTGGCAGGTAATCTGCAAAACAGCAGTATTACTTGTCAAGTTCAAGAGGCACCACTACTCTGATTTTTATCACTGTGGGAACACACAATGAAGTCCCTCACTTACTTAAAGTCAAATGTTAGTTATTTTCTTGACAGAAGGCTTTCTAAGACAAAGCTTTCCTTAAATCTTTCTGAGATCAATCATAGTCTAAGGGCTTGAAAGATGCTTGAGAAGTCATTAAGACCAGCTCTGGGCTTTTGTTTTGAAATGTTTCAGCAGGTTTCTGCACCACCAGGACTGTAGTCAGAAGAACAACATTTTCAATAAAAAGTGATGGAAACAGCCTGGTGAGAGTTCCTAGTAGCTTTATCATGAATCTCACTTTTCGGGTCTACTCTTGTCATCCAGGAGCCTTTTCTACTGTGATGTCACTGTCAAGTGTATGTTATTTCCTCTCCATTATTAAAAGTCTGCAGTTAACTTATATTAGAAGTGAGAAAATGACAGAACAAAGGGACCAGGAACTCTGTCGGAGCCGTGGGAAGAGCTAATCATGGTGAAAATATTTCTTCCTATGTTTTCTTGAAAATTCCTTCCTCAAGAAAGAATTAAGATGTATTTAGCAAGTTCTAGCCATATCCGATACCAAAATGAGGTAACAATGAGTTTTCACAAAGATTTCTTCCTTGGCATTTCCTCTGAAACTTAAAAAGATTTCTCTGTTCTTCAAATGCCTGTGGTTGGATTAATACGCACCAGTGCACGGGAACCAGGACACAGTTTTATATGCATTTCAAAGTAGATGGCTCTTCCAAGAGTTCAAGTACAGTAATTTACATTTTTAGAAGCACATGCTCTTAAAAATTTAGGAGGTACAAGGTCAAAAGAGAAAGAACATCAGAGTAATTTTAACTTATTTTTGCAGAGCATGAGAATTGTTTTGAAAAGAACTTTGATAGTTTTTAAAGTAAAACACTAGTGTCTGAAAGCATCAGACAAAAACATTTTAATATGTGAAATATGGTGCCTTGTGACTTAGGTTGTAGTTTTTTAATACATATGGGGGTTGGATGGAGATTTTTCCATTAGGCTCTCGGGAGGAGCATTGAATAGTCTCACACTAACTCGCTCATGTTTTCCTTTTTTTTCTGGTGATAGATGACAGATTTTGCAAATCCTGTTTTCCTCAATATTTTTCTTTGTCTGGTTGACTTTTTTGTTTCTTTGGTTGTTTTACTGTGTATTTGAAATTTTATGTTATCAACTTTATTATTTTCTTTCATTGTATTTCTTCATACAGTTTTTAAATGCAGTGTTACTCCCTTTTGAAGTTTAATAATTATTCAGTTCTATTTTCGTATGAATTTGAGATTTATATTCTTTAATCTGCCTGGAATGTATTTTAAGTCTGTGATGTAAAACGAGGGTTAGAAGTGATTTATGTTCCTGCCAAAGAGCAAAATTTCTTTCTCGGGACAGTTCCTTTGCGTTTTATTTATCCTTCGATGCATCTTTTAGCCAACATTTAAATTTTGTGCTCTATATAATAAAGTTTATTTTGGCATGCTCTATGGCTCTCAGATGCAAAATGTTAAGCAAACAGCTGAAGGACTATCCTAATTGAAACATATATCAACCATACTGACCAGCAGCAAGTACCCAGAAATGTTCCCAATAAACATAGTTTCTCAAGAAACTCAATAAAAATGGGCAGAGATGGTGGAGACTGAGTATGCTAACTTTCTCCACACGTCTGGCTTTGATTTATTTTAAGGTACATGGGTCACTGCATGGCTGTGTTAAGCCTCAGTAGTTTGTGACTAGCCAGGCTCACATCAGTTAAATCCTTCCTTTGAAGACTATCCCAGAAACAGAATACATACATACCTTTTCAGCTAATTCCTCAACATCAGACAGAAGGCTTTTCATCGTGTTCTCAGCATTGTTGATTTGTATCTTTCTTAGGACATACTGGTTTTCCCTTTCTGACAATTTTGTCTGTGGGAAAAAAATGTGTTTTGAAAATAATCACTTGATATACACACAGGGTTATTAAAAGTGTATATAAAACTCAGTGTAATCTGACTCAAGAATGGAGTGTGAGCCTCTTTTTTCAAAATAGTGGGGTCCACAGGTTGCTGCAGGCTGGTGTGAAGGGTGGGATCTGCAAATTGATGGCTGCGATTCTGGGAGCTCCACTGACTAGGCTGGGGACCTGGTCTGGGGCTGGGCTGGCCACAGGGAGAGAGCACCTTTTGCTAATTTGCACAAAGGCACAGTATAGGCTGATGGTAGCCCTGGGTGTCTGATCTTTAAAATTTCAACCTGATCAGACCTTAGAAGCACTGAGCAACCCACCAAGATCAATGTAAAGAAAGAAATTTACTGGGCAGCACCTGTGGCTCAAGAAGTAGGGTCCCATACTGGGAAGCAGGCCCCATATAATGGGGGTGGTGGGTTCAAACCCGACCCCAGCCAAAAACTGCCAAAAAAAAAAAAAAAAAGAAAGAAAAGAAAAGAAAGAAATTTACTTTCTTTTTGGTGTTAAAAGATTCTCTATATTTCAGATCACTTGCTTCCCTTTGCATTTTTGAAGAGTTTGTTCTAAATGTGACTTTACTCAGATTACTTTGGTCTATGCCCTTCAATCTTGGCAATGACCTCCTATCAGTTATGATGATACCTCTCTTGAAACTGTGCCTTGGAGCAAAGAGAATTGGAGTGGTCTGAAGAGGCCTACACCTGGGTGACTCAGCCAAGAATTAGTGCCTTCACGTGTCCAAATAGGTAAGTTCAGATAAGAATAATTTCTAAGTTTAGAATACTAAGTAGAAGGCTCACTAAGATTCTATTCAGACTAGAATTGTATAATTTTTGTTTTGGTTTAGACTTTCCATATGTGGCCAATTGCTGTAGATATCATTTGCACTTCCAAAAAGTAATGGTTGTTTTTTTTTTAATGCCAAGTGCTGTTCTAACTTCTTTACATATATGAGTATCAACTCATTGAATTCTTTAGCAATCCATGAAATAGATGCAGTAATTATCCTCAATTCCAGATGAGGAAACTAAAGAATAAAGAGGCTATATAATTTACTCAAGGTCACATAGCTAGCAAGTGCCAGATCTGGGCTTTGAACAAAAGCACTCTGGTTTCAATGTCTGTGTTTAACCGTTATGCCAAAATGACTCGCAAAGTCAAACAATGTGTTGGCACTCATTCTATTGTCCTTTCAGTTAATTATTATTGTTTAAAAAAATTGTATGGTTGTAATAGAAGCCTATGACTTAGAAGAAAGAACTCTTAAAGTTTAAATATAGAAGTACTTTTAAACAGTGTCCCTCTGTATCTATGAGGGATTGATCCCAGGATCCCTTTGGATACCAAAATCCATGAATGTTCAAGTTCCTGATACGACATGATGGCAGTGTTTGCATATAACCTATGCACATCCTCCAGAACACTTAGTAATTACTAACAGGTAGTAATTATTTATAGTACTAATGCAATGTCAATGCTATGTAGTTATTATACTGTATTTTTGTTTATAATTTGAGTTATTTTTATTATTACATTGTTTTTTTGTCTTGTTTAAAACATTTTTTTTTTCATCTGTGATTGGTTGAACCTAAGGATGCAGAATCCGTGATACAGAGCACTGACCGTACTTCTACTTTTCACTGTTGGCTGCCTTCAACTTGTTTATACCCAGTACACCTATGAGGAGAAACAAGTCATGTGTGTACGTTTGTGTCTGAGTAATCACGTGAGTGTGGGAAATGAGAGAATGTGTCTGAGAAAGGAATTTGGGTGAGGGAGAGGAGGGAAGAGAAAGAGAGAAGGAGGCTTCTCGAGAAACCCAACATCTTGCACATTGAGGCTAAGGTAAAGGTAGCCTGGTGGCAACATTTAAGGACTTGAACAACTAATAAATGTATAGCTTCGCCAAGGAAATAAGAGTGTCTTCCTTCTCTCAATAGTTTTGTACATAGATAGTATCTGAGTCATTTCATTTTTCATGTAATCTCTTCCATAGACGGCAGCTACCAATTGACTTGGACTGACGCTCATGATTACAATCAACTTTTCCTAATTTCCTATGAAATTATTCATGTTATGTATTTTAATACCTACAGGTCTAACAGTCTTTAACACGGTGATGAAACTCAAAAATAAGAAAGGGCAGAGGAGGAGTTACGAGGTCTGAGCCTGTGAAACCAGAGCGAAGATACAGCTGAAGTTCCGACCCCCTGCATACTTTGAGGAGGTAGATGGTGGCGTTGATTTCATTCACGTGCCTATGAGAGGCGGCCCCCGAGGACACACTCAGCAGCCCGGATTTGCTTTCCTCGATGGACAGCGCTGCCAGCCGCAGGTCATCGGTCAGATCCCAGACGCACTTGTCACAGCCTGGAGGTAAAACAGGAATGCCGTTTCTTCAGAGTCAGAAGTCGGCTGGGAAGCAAGCTGCTGTAAGTCAATCAGGAAGGTGCACTTCCTTGGTTACTACTGTTTTCATTTTTGTTTTCTGAGGAGCTGTGATTTTATTCTTGAATGTTTTGGTCTTGGGCTTGGTGCCAGCCAGTGAGATGGCTGTTTGCTGGGCACCCCTCCCTTCCTATTAGCTTTCCTCAGTCAGGATTCAGGGACCAACACAGCCTTTGCCTCACCCCAGGGAGAGCTCAGCTTCCTCGATGGCCCAGCCCCCTGTCTGGAAGAAAATTCAGCACAGGCAAGTCTGTGGGGCATCCCTGGGAAGGCGGCTCCCTGATATCTGGTGAGGGTGCCAGGGTGGACCCAGCATGTGGAGAAGTGGGTCCCACTTCTCAACGTTCCTACCTTTCATGTCTGTGTTCCTCTGACCATTGTCCTCACCTCTGGGGCCCAGGGCCCTCCTGTGACATTCTCAAAAGGACGCCATGCTGTGCTCTGAGGCCTATGGTGACCACTTTCTGCCATTTGCCTATGATCAATCTCTTTCCCGTAGATTGTACTCTCTTTTAGAGAACTGATCAAGGGAGACTGGAGTGTTAATTGTTGTTAATATGTTAATTTGTTATTTGAAATTTAACATGGTCTTACCTATGACCTCTCTCAAGGGACTGAGTCCTCACCAGCACATCAGGCTGGGTGGGGGACAATCCTGAGGCCAGGCAGGCATCTTGCATCTTGATGCCCTTAAATTGGCCTCGGGGGTCAAGGACCCTTGTTCCAGCAGTGGGTGAACTTTGCCAGCTTGTGCCTCCCACCCCCTGCCATCTCCTGAGACGGGATTCACTGGTGATAGCAATTTTTCCTGCTCAGAGTTACTGAAAGACCAAGACATTTTAGTTTGTGGGAGGGGATGCCTAATATGAAAATAGTCTTTAAACCAAAAAATTGGTTTCCAGTATAATTGTTCCTGATTTGATTCACATGAGTGACAGAGAAATCCAGGAAAGGAAAAAAGGCAGCTTCATTTTGTAAAGCCTGAATATTTTATGTCTGATCCCACTTCCAATTTGGAGTAATTTGGCAAAAGCCACTTAAATGTCTTGGTATCTCAGTTTCCCCAGGTGTAAAGCACTGTCTGAATGTCAGGTGATCTGAGGACCCGAGAAGACAACATGGAAAAAGGAGCTAAAAAGAGCTCTGTCGTCGGGAGTTGTTCTGACTCTGTCTCTACCCATTAGGCAAGATGCTTAATGTAAAGACTTCCTAAAATAAGTTTTCTAAAATAGAGCCACGCAAACATAAGCCGCTTATTTGCCAGTTGGAATTAAATGGACCACCAAGTACTCTGTGCAGGGTCTATTTGATTGAAATGCAGACAAGGTTAAGTCCAGGGGTGGGACTCAGCAGTTTCTAGAAAGTGACATTGCATAGCCCTGCGTAATCCCACACCTGCAGCACGTTAGGGAAAGGGGGGTTAGTCAATCATGTACTGTTATTTTTACTTATGGTTGGGCAGTCCATGCCTGTAGGGGGTTCAAAACCTTCTTCCAAGCACTCTCCGGTTACGCTGTCACATGGGCCTCCCCCACAGTTGCACACTGTGGGAAACAAAAACAAGAGATCAGAGATTCATTTCTGAACACTAAAAATATGGCAGTATTGTCATGGTTTCTAGAAATGCTAGCAGCTACCTTAATTCTTCAATGGGGATTAATTAGATCCTTCCTTACAACTGTGTGAATTCTATGATATAGAGATGACATCCCTCACCCAGTTAAGCCTCCGCCCGGTGAGATTTTCACAGGGGTGACACCAGGCAAAACTGAATCTAAGTTTCCTAGCATTTCTCTCCCAACTCTTTGGGATTCTGAGGTGACTGTGCAATTGCTTTAGTCCAAAAATATCCTGGTAAGTTTCACCAGAAACTAAATGACCATGGAGCTTGTCATTTAACTTGAAATTGAGAGCCATGGCTTCACAGCAGACTTATACTCCAGTTTAATCTAACTTCAGGGTTGATCATTGCCAGGTGTGAGGGGGGAACGGCCTGTGATGGGAGGGTGAGGAGACCCAGGAGCAATTCTTGGCTCCCACAGTGCCTGTCTTTTGGCAAGGCAGATGCCAAACATCTAAACAATCGCTATCAGTGGGATAGCCAGGAATAATGTCGTGGAAAGAACTAGGAACATGTTTACATGAATTTAGGAGACCTGAGAGCCCATTATTCATCTACTGATGATTTTTAATAATGCCTTTTGGAAAAAAAACAAAACAACAAACTAATCTTATCGATCTGTTCATTTTCTGCAGAGTTTCTGTGCAGGACTTAATTTATAATATTTAAGGAGGAGTTCCTTAGCAATCTATGCTAACAATAAGCTGAAATAGAATTGTGGATTTTCTCCACCTCTTAACTGTCTTTACAGAATAATCACAAAAAATCAGCTTCATGGGGACATCCATTTATTACATTTCAGCTGTTTAATGTTCCACAAAATGCAGATTTATTAAACCATTCAGCGGTAAGGATCATGCTTTATTGCTTCTAAGGTTAGCTTCTCTTTGAAGAGTGATCTGCATCTTTGTAGTTTAAACATAAGTTTAATAAATGTTTGGAGAATCAGGATGTCGGCCTTTTAGGTGTTGCTGTTGCCAGCACTCTTCCCCATGACCGCTTTCTTCCCCTCCCTTCTGACTGGACACAGGGCTCCTTCCTTCCCACCATCACTGTCAGGGTCCTGTCTCTGTGCATTGCTTTCTCGTAGACATGTTTACTTTTATTCTGATACCTGATGATCAAACATTTCCCCCTTTTGATTTTAAACTCTTCCCTTCTTGAATCTTTACAAGTGGAAATCTGTTTCAGAGAGGATTTCTTATAGGAGCATGCCCACAGGAGCAGCAATACCTCCCTCTGTTCCTGCCTTCCCTCAATCCCAGCCTTCCTGTACTCCTAGAGAAAGGCAATTGAACTTCATTTCTGAGAAGCCTCGCTCTACGTGGCAAATGAACTGGAGAGATTATGAATAAAATTTGTACATGTCAATCTAACTTATGTCTAGGAATGTTTCTTATGCTATCTTTGAAATATTTACTCTGAAAATCTGAGGAAATTGCGGGGGGGGGGGCGGCAGGGTGGCTTGCTAATGTATTCCACTGAAATGTCAACATAACTGAAAGAAGAGATACACCTTCCAGAATAAGAAAACTGGTTTGAACCATGCAAGATTTTATTCAGTCCTCTGGCCGATGGGAGGTAAGTCACAGGGGTCTGATTTATTACTTTGATCAAAATTGGAAGGATATAAGATGATACCTATCTTAGTGTCCCTTAGTTCATTTTACCCATGACCTAAGTTACATCTTTATATCTCTGGTGAGTTTGGGATGTACCTTCCTGAGGGGAATGAACATTGCCCTGCAAAGTGACAAGGAGGCACCTACATTATTTAAGATAAATTCTTCATCTGACTTCAGCATTAACAGAAGGCCTTGCTGGCCAGGCAGCTGGCTTGGTATTCCCGGTACTGTACCTGCACAGTTCTTGGCTATTCTGGCATCCCCGTAGTAGCCAGGAGCACAGCGTTCACACTTGAACCCAGTGGTGTTGCGTAAGCAATTTCTGCACTGGCCCGTGACTTCATCACAGTCCTCAAAGATCAGATTGGGGTCTGAATTTCCACTGCAGTCACATTTCTTACAGGTGCTTCCGATGAGCAAGGGGTTTCCATAGTAACCAGGAGCACACCTGAAGGGGAATATCACACACGTAACATTTAGCATCCATAGTTTTTCATCCTTTTAATCCTCTCTCCTACAGAGAAGAAAGGTATAGTGGACATTTGCAAATTGTTCTCCCAGCATCCCTCCCCATTTTCCAATCTTTCTAGTAGAACCAAACTTTGTTTTTAAGAACCCAACTCTCTCCATTGTGCTGTGTAAGCTATTCTGTCCAACCGGCCTTTAGTTGTAGACGTGTCTGTTTTATACTAGTGTGTGGGCATGTTTGGTTATTTCAGGGACTGTTGTGCACAGCTGGCATAGGATGAGTGGAACCAGAGATGCTAAATGTACTGCAATGAAATTAGTGCAGATCTCAGGGTACTGCTGAGAAATGTCCTGGCCATAATGCTAATAACACTTCTGTCGAGAAACATTAATTTAAATCACACTTTTTCTTGCAACAATGAATTGTTCAAATCAGTACCTGGCCAAATGGGATTGGCTCAGGAGGATTCAATCAGAGAGTAGCCCAAAGTTGTTGTTCGAGGGTTAAGCACAGACGTTCTCTCCATTTTCAGGAGAACAAAGAGGCAGCCGGTGACACTCCGAGCTGTTGGCAGCCACTTTGAGACTTAGCAAAGCCAGCCTAGGGACAAAGCAGATGGCATTGCTGACCATCCACGGATAAACAGAAACGGAGCCCAGGTCGCCACTCTTCTGAATGTTTTAGATATGAAAGCATTTAGTGCAGGTAGGTCCAGGGCCTAGAGTTATGCTGGGTGGGTCCTTACCAGACAGCCCGGCCGGTTGGAGGGTAAAGACTGAACTCTGCCCAGCCTCTGCCCTCCTGGCGGAGGAGCTGTGCTGTCTAGCTGGAGCTGCCTCTTCTGGGACGAAGAAATGCCTTTCTCTATTTTTCCCAAAGGTGCCCTGCAGGCCAGCAAGGCCCTACTGTCAGTGGTGGGACTACCGGCCCCTCCCAAGGGTGCGCCTGTTACCAGGCCAGACCACAGACTTGAAGGAATGAAGGACTTATGTTGCTAGATCTCATTCCTGAAGAAAAAAGTAGAAATTTGGATTTTTATGTGAAATTACAATTTCTAAAAGTAAGATCAAATTTTGTAAGAATGCCGTATAGGTCAAACTCCACATATATGCTGGCTGACTGTGGACTCTGTTTTGCCATGGATCCTAACTCAGTGTGGAAGGCGGGTGACCCTAGCTCAGAGTGGAAGATACTTTGGGAGTCACAGGAAAGAATTTGTGGTCATACTAAGGGGACCGAAGGTCTGGCACAGGAGATAGTTCTGAAGTGAGAGAGAGAGAAAAAAAGAAAGAGAGGCAGCCTGGGGTTTGGAGTGTGATGAACGTGGTGATGGAAGGAACCACTCTGGCTTCAGAGCTTGGCTGGATGGCAGCCTGGAGCAGGGAGATGAGCTGGGGCGTGAGCTTGGCCTGGGGTGTTGACCGTGGGTGTAGAAAGAAAGGAAGAGCTTTCCAAGGAAATCAACGTGCACTGGCCAGCAATAATAAGACACTACTTTTTTTTTTTTCTTTTTTTGCAGTTTTTGGCCTGGGCTGGGTTTGAACCCACCACCTCCAGCATATGGGGCTAGTGCCCTACTCCTTCGAGCCACAGGCACTGCCTAAGACACTACATTTTTTAAAGGTTTCCCTTTAAAGTAAGAGCATCATGATTCAGAACATTTAAAAAACAGAAATGAAAAAATCACACTTATAACCCAGGACCCTGATAAAATTACTGTCAACATTTTGTCTTCACATTTCCAGCCTCTGTCTCATGCCCCAGTTTTTTGGTGTAGTTGTCGGGAAGGTGCATGTTCAATCGGACGCTCTTTGCCTGCACTGTCCCTCGCTGCTGCAACTACATGAATTTATTTGTTACCTCAGGCACCTGGGAGGAAGGCCACACAGGCCTAGAATTCTGAAGCCGAGAGGCTACTTCAATTTTCCAGGGTCACAGAGCTAGAAAGTCAATGCCAGAGTCCAAACCCTCTGACCCTGATGGTCTTTCCTTTGCCCCACCCTGGACCACACTGCTGCTTGCTGCTGCGAATGAATGAGTGAATTCATCCGACAGAGGGACAATTCACGTCCACTTTATGTAAGGCATGGAGGGAGCCAGGAAGAGGAAGAACACACAGCTCATGCTCTGAAAGAACAGGAAATGAATGAAACACAGTCATGCACAACAGCCTGAACTCTAGATATCAAGGTCTATGAAAAAGATGAGGAGGAAGAAGACAAGTTCTCCCTGACCCCGAGGAGAAACTCCACAAGGAAACACTTCCGAGAGTTTTGTTATTCACGTTTTCTCCTGTCTTTGCCCTCAGGCATACAGGCCCCTTGGAACATGTGGCTAGATTGAATGTCCATCCTTTGCTACAGTTCACCAAACAGAGAATATTAGACTCTTTAGCCCATCAAAATGGGACTCAGATCTACTACCTCAACATGTCCTTGGGAATCTTGAGGTCTGGGAGGGAAGGGACTTGCCCAGATGCCAGTGACTTTCTTTTCTCCATTTAATTTGCTCCCTACACGTTACCTATCTCACGGTCTTTCATAAGAGAAAAACCAGGGTGGCGCCTGTGGCTCAAAGAGTAGGGTGCTGGCCCCAGATGCCGGAGGTGGCGGGTTCAAATCCAGCCCCAGCCAAAAGAAACTTAAAAAAAAAAAGAGAGAAAAATCAAATATTCAATTCTGCAAGTTGGACTCTCAATCACAGTGAAAACCTACTTTGAGTTACTCTGAGTCTAAAGAAAAGGTGGTGGTGGTGGGTCAGAGGCAATGCTGGAGTTGTTGTCTGAACTCTGGATTCTATAAATTTTACATAATGAGCCTATAAAGATTTACTTATGATATCCCCCAACAAACACCTACATTTTAGATAAGGAAGTTGGAGGGTAGGAAAGAAAATGACTTGTTCATTATCGCATGCCTCAGACCTCTGTGGCACTCCAGGATTAATGCTCTTTCCACCCCGGAAGTCTGGCATTAATAAACTCACTAACTAATACATTAATGATTATAACAGTTGAATAATCAGACAGCGATGTTTCCAATCCTGCCCACAAAGAACTAATAACAAAGATACAAATGGAGAATATTTGCATTTCTCGTCAGCACTGGAACCCTAGTCTGTTCTTATTTTTTTCTCCTATAATCTCATTTCTTCTATTAATACTTGCTCCATTTAGGGAAAATAGGATTGATAAATTTACAATGCAAATGAGAGAACTGTGGCATGTAAACTTTGTTATGCCAGTTATTAACCATATCATTTGAGCAGAATGGAAAACAAAACAATACATTTTCTGGACAAATTAATGATTTTGACCAACAGCTATTGCTTTGGGAGTATCTGGAGCTCTTCTTTCTCTCCTGCTCTTCCTCCCAGGGCTGTGCAGCTGTTACTGAGTGTTGTTATCAAAGGTGCATAAACTCATGGCCTGGATGGCACAGAAACATTTCTGGGAGGGGTGTGGCTCAGTAGATGTCACTGGGATTAAACAAGATGGTGTAAAAAAAGAAAAAAAACACTTGTTAAAAAGTGTGCCATAAAAATGCTCTCCGCTTTCTGAGAGACTGGGAAATAAGGCTAGGAAATATCAGTAACCTATTCAAGGTTACAGGACAAGAATCCAGGAGTGGATCAAAGCAGAGGGTAGGGTGTCACTGAACTCTAAGCAAATAATAGGTGTGACAACTTAAGTTTGAAAAACTTGGCATCTTCAGAGAGAATTAGACTAAATCTCCTCCCCGCCCCCCCGCCACAGTAAACCTGAATATTAGCCGTCTCTTCCTTTTCTCCCTTATTCTTCTTTTCCAAACCAAGGCCATCATCAAAATCATTATTACTGTCATCAGCATCAGTATCATTTCTATTGATAGTATGTTCTGCCTTTCCTGTTAGGGGTTTAAAGTCTCCTTGGATTTGCTTTAATTTACCCCATTCTTTTCTCCTGATCCTTAAGCAACAAGGTCCACATGGTAAATCATCATACAGTCCTAGCCTGTTTCTCACTCCAGCACAAAACGGAACAGATGTAGCTGGGCGTGGTGGTGTGCACCTGTAGTCCCCGCTACTCAGGAGGCTGAGGCAGGAGGATCCCCTGAGCCCAGGAGTTTGAGCTATGGTGACACCACTGTATTCTAGGCCTGGCAATAGAGCAAGACCCAGTCTCAAAAACAAAACAAAACCGAACAGGTGGAAGTATACTATTAAAGCTGACATAGCAGGCAGTGCGGGATATTGAGGCATTGGGATGATACTAGCTTATCAACCAAAAACAGGACTGAACATTGAAGGTCCTGGGTTTTAGTTCTGGATTTAATGCTAACCAATTATGTGACCTTACGTTAAGTCTCTTCATAGCTCCCGAGTCTCAGCTTCCTCATCTTTTTTTGAATGAATGAATGAATGAATTTTCTTATTTATATGCTACCGTATATATATTTTGGGGGGAGAGCCTGTGAGCCGGAACAAGGATTTTTTTCCTTTTATCTTTACATTACACATAATAATTGTACATAATTATCAGATACAGAATATTTTGATATATGTATATAAGGTATAATAATCAAATCAGGATAATTAGCTTAGAACACTTATCATTTGAGTGTTGTGCACATTCAAAATCCCCTCCTCTACCCTTCTGAAAATACACACTGACTTGTGGGTGACCAGGTTCACCCTGCAGTGCTGTGGAATCCTGGAGCCTCTTCCTCTCAGCTAGCTGTAACTTGGGATCCTTTAATAACCTTTCTATCTTCACCTGCCTCCTAACCTTCCCCGCCTGGAACAACCACCATTCTGCTCTCTCCTTCCAGGAGCTCATTTCTCTCTTTAGCTCCCACATAAGAGCGATAACACGTCACATACATGTACAGACTGCTTCATGGACCTGCAGGTCACCCTTGTGCAGGGGCCGTGCTAATCTTCTCTGTCTCCTTCCACTTTTAGCGTATGTGCTGTCCAAGCCAGCACCTCATCTTTACATACAGTTAGTTGTGGAGTGAGGGTCACACTGGGACAAGAGCAAGAATTGTAAGACTCCTTCCATAAGGCTTGTGCATTGCACATTTTGTAATTTTTTACAGCAGTAGAGACCTTCCATTTGGCAACCTCTCTTCAGCCTAAGGACTCTGACTCAACTGAGTCAATTCTGGGTCACCCTTGTCCATTTTCCTAGTCTGAGGTGGGAGGTAGGGGAACTAAAACAGGGCAAGAAATGACTGATTCTCTTCATTACACTGTACCTCTTTTAAGGAAAATTAAGGCGGCACCTGTGGCTCAAAGGAGTAGGGCAGCAGCCCCATATGCCGGAGGTGGCGGGTTCAAACCCAGCCCTGGCTTAAAAGAGCAAATAAACAAATAAGTAAATAAAGGAACATTAAAAGGACTCATTGTTTTTAATTAAGAAAAAAAGCATTACTTAGACAAATATGAGAGTGCCTTCAATGTGCCAAGGGATGGGGGAAAAGTGACAGAGCTGGGGGAACTCTGTGATGGGGAAAGAATGACAGAGCTAGGGGAACTCTGTGATGGGGAGAGTGGACAGAGAAAGGACACGATGCTGTTTCTCTCAAAATTCTCATCGTTTTGAACAGTAGAGACAGAAAAGGCCATTGTGTGATTTGGGGTCAGTGATTGACTCTGTGTCTCTTCCTCTATCAACAAGGATGAAAATGCATCCCACAGAATCTTTGTTTTTAGGCTTCAACGTGCTGGTGTCTGTAAAGTGCTTACAATCGCGCACACTTCACAGTAAGCACTCAATAAATGTTAGTTACTGCCATCATCATGACCTAAGAATAATACAACGTGGCAGGCTCTCCAGTTGATCCTGCACGTTTTGGAAACAGCACAGCCAAGATGTGGAGTTTAAGCCTGCGGTGGAGAAGGAAACAGGAGAGCCCACAGCAGGCTAAGAATTATGGACCTGATTCTTCTGACAAGGCAGGTTGGTATCTGTGAGCTGTTTTATGTGGTAGTGTAAGAAGTAGGTAAGGAGGTAAAATATGATTTCTATGTTAGATCAGTGATCCTCACATTTGTATGTAGTATAGATCTCTTTTAATGGGAAGACATTTTCGTAGAATATCCTCTCTGGTGTTCCTTTAAATTATCTTTAACTATTTCAGACATAAACCTAGGTGGAAACTCCTTGTACCTATGGCTTTTATATGTCTTCAAAAACCGAAGTAATTTCCAAATAAAGCGTACACAAAACCATAAAACTAGTCAAATTCAAATTGACATTAATTCAAGGTGCTAGATTATGTCATCTTGTTGCAACTGAGTGGCCACTAGCAACGCGATGTGGTAGAGGACTGTCTGAGTCCAGCAGGCATGGCCTGTGACGTGCTGTGTGATGACTCAGTTCTCACCAATTTTCTTTCAGGAAGGTTCAGTTTTACACCTTGCCTTGATGGCATATCATTCAGCTTCCAATTGTCTGTCCTGTGACACATCATCAGCCCTGTTATTCTACTCCCAGCAGTGAAGAACATCACCCTTAGTTATAAGGAGATATGAGAGAAAGTCTAGAGCAGTGGTTTTCAACTTTTTTTTTTT